AAACTCCCATGTGGGGAGTTGTTCTACAGATCCTTTCTAAAAGATGTTGAGGGGACATATGGGGCTTTGGCCCCGGGCTGCAACTGTAATCAGGAGGTGCGTGGTTCAGGGTTCGGCACTTTCGGTTCGATGTAACATCCCCGCCGGGCCACCAAGACGACAACATGCAGATGAGGGCAGCGAACAAGAGTAGAGGTAACACACAGCAGGACGACCTGCAAGTTCAAAACAGCTGAGAATGTGGGGACCTCCAAACCTTTAACAACAGAAGTCTACATGTCATAATTCTTTCCTAAATTACACCTGGAGCACCATCTAGGTCCCAGGTCCAAGCATGATTGACGAACCACAAACCTAAACTGTTAAACCCTGAAGCCTTCACTACAGTCACTACAGCCCTCGACCCGGGCCCCACGTTCTCCTTGGAGGGCGGTACGGACGCTCGAAAGCGACAGGCTGTCGGAAGTGGGCAAGGAAACTTGCCGGGGTCCGGAACCATTGAATGACCTGGCCTCCCCTCCTCTTAGCGACTTTTAGACTGTTGGGGTTTAGGGTTTAGGGCTTAGACTTTAGGGTGTTGGGGTTTAGCCGTATAGGCTTCTGATTCAAGGATGAGCCCTTGCTCTTGTCACTGGTGTTTCCGGCATCTAATTTAACTGGCCTTCTATCTCTTCTTGTGTGCTGGCCCCCCTCAACCCTCAACCCTTAAAGCCCTTTGAAACCGGACTTTATTGATGACTGCCAGCATCATTGCCTCCTCTGCCTAAACCCTAAACCCTAAACCCTAAACTCCGGACCTTGGTGCCAACAAACAAAGCCTTCGCGACTTGTAGGACCGGACTTAGGGTCCTATATGTAAGGGCCCAAGAAAGAAGCACGTAACGTCAAAGGAACTGCTCCGAGAGCCCTCCAGTGGAGGGGTCCCAGAAGCCACAAGAGTGAGTAGGATTCGCTGTTCTGCTCACGCGCTTCTTTGGGCCCCTTGTATTCCCGACCTCTGGCCAGGATTCAGAAAAGATGAGCTGCACACCTGCAAGTATCGGGAGAGACTGACTTGAGCCCTGAGGCAATGCATTCACGGACCGAAAAGAATGCTTTCAGAAGTCCTGGAAATTTCGTTGGGCCTTTGCGACACTCTTGCCCACACATAGGGCTCTTAAACCTCATGCATGCACTCGCAAACACTACACGGTATCATCCTCCCTTGCAGCAGTGAGTAGGCAGCTGTGAAAAGGAGCCAATGCTCCGCAGGCTCCCAATTCCGTGCGAGCCCGGCTGGGCTGGGCAAAGCCTTAAGGGGACATTTGCTAGCAAAAAATCCCACCCTGACCCAGCAACTCCCACTGAAACGCCTACCCCTGCCGGGCCCTACGGCGCGGTGGCCACACCCAAAACGCTTATCCAGACTCTCCCTTTGAGCCCTTCCATCGCTATGTTAAAATCCTCTCTTTATTCTCTTTTCAAGCGACACGCTTGACCATGTTCAAGTACTCCCGATACTCAGTCACCGGAACGTGTAGCCTCCAGCGCAGCAAGGAAGTGAAGTAGACCTCTAGGCTGTTGAGCTCCCGAAGTGAAAGGCCGCAAACCCGAGCGTAGTGGGCGTTGCTGAAGAAAAGGTCGTCCTGTATCTTTGCAGCAACGACCGTAGAAACGGCCAGAAGCCGATGGATGGTGAAGTTGTTCACCACAACGACGGCGTTCATCTTTACTGCTCGATCGATGTAGATGAGAGCCAGCAGCAAACATGATTCATGGCACTGGAAGTACTTGGCCACTCGAGTGAGGTACTGCTCGATGCCAATGCTGGGTGCGACCTTGGAGTGGAAGCGAGAAACCGTGTCCTGCCTCCCAGTCTCCACCTCAATGAAGGACGAGTAGACGGAGGCCAAAGTTTTGCAAAGCTTCCCAACATCCATTCCGATGTCGACTCCTTCGGCTTCCTGCGGGACCTCCTCTTCAACTGCCATCAGCTCGGCATCTGCAGTCACTGGCTCAACCACTGGCTCGGGCTTCTCCTCTTCCTGGGGCTTTGGCAACTCCTTTGCTTGTGGCTTCTTTGGCAACCACTTGCGGCCACTCATCCTTCCCTTCTTCTGATGCGGGCCGTGGCAAAGGTAAAAGCTACCGGTCATCTAGGAACTTACGCCCGGGCAGGGACGTCTCACGACTCTCTTTGACGCTGAAAGCCGGGAAAACTCACTGGGAGAACTTGAGCCACAGCAAATGCCCATTGGCGGAAGTTCTCTTGGCTCAACGAAAGACTCGCAGCTGGCAAGGCCCAACCGGTGCCCCTCTCTGTGCAACGGGCGAGCCTTGAGGTCGATCACCAACGGAGGAGCTGCTTTCTTGGCTTCTCGGAAGTTCTTCGAGCCCCTGGAAGGAGAGATTACACTCTCACAACTCGGACAAGCCAGGCGAGATCTACAGGGTCTGGTCGGCATGATACGACCAGAAGAAACCATCCTTGCAGAGAATAACGTTTTGTGTCTAGGGCCTTGTGAGGACAGCAGGATTCAGAATGCTTTGCTACCCAAAACTCCCGCAAACCTCACTAGCATGTCCTAAGCTGCCTACGATGTTCAGGGTTGAGCCCGGCAGCATCAGCAGATCGCCGGCCACTCCACGACCACCACCACCACCACCACCACCACCAACAACAACAACAACTACTACAACTACCACTACCACGACCACCACGACGGCAACTCATGAGTGCTCCTACTCCCCCTACTGCTGCAAGTCGCAGTCTTCATTTCTTCATGCCTTAGGGCCAGGGTTAACGCCATGAGCGCCAGTAAGATGGCTCCGGCCGGTTCCATGACAAGCAGCCGGCGCAAGTACTTGCGCCAAATGTGGCCCTGATACCTTGGCTGTTCAATGAGCACACAAAGAGCCCACACTTTGCACCGTGATTCTTACCGTTGGTTGTATCGACACAGATTCTTGAAGACGCGCACTGCAATCTCGACGTTCGGGGATTGGTATTTTCTTGTCGGGCTAGCAGATGCACCCACCCACATGCAGATCCTAAACAGCAGAAGGATCTGCCTTGTGCTGCATGCCCCCTTTTTGGAGCCTAGGCACTGGAAGACGGTCACCCACGCCTCGGAGCGTTCCTGAGTCTCAGCTGTCATGGATATTAGAGAACAAACGCAAAGCTGGCTGCCGTTTAGCTCATGAACAAACACCGCCGATGCGGCCTCGACCCCAGGTCTGAAGGAGGCGGCAACAACATAGTGTTCTTTCTTCTGGGGTTGCTTGGAGGCTCAGATGTGCGAACTTGAAGTAACGTACGAGTATTTAAAGCATAGGAACCCTGTAATGGCACTTGGCCGGGCCACGGACCACATGCCCCAGCCAGGCACAAAGCTGCCAGCCTCAAAGCACAGCTCTGAAACCCTCGTGGTCGCCGATATGCATAAACATGTTGCGAACCACTTCATGAATATTCGCCGGATTTTGCATTTCGAAACCCTGAGTACGTGCAGCGCTGTCTCCTCCTCATGAGCGTTTCATCTTCCAGGGGTGAGAAAGACTTTCTGTTAAGCCCAAATCCTTGATCCCTTTTTTCCGCAAGCTTACTGGAAGCCCAAACCCCTCAACCCTGAATCCTTGAATGATGTCGGGGGGCCTACCAGCAATAAATGTTCATAAGTGCTCCTTGTCTTTCTGGTTTTGCTACGGATTGCAGGTTCCAAAAATCAGGGTCTTGCAGATCCTTTTGGGCTGAAGGGCCGTGTAGGGCTGAGGGCTTCGCTGGGCTTATGGACATGCCGCCAAAAAGAAAAACGCGCGTTCGACATTTAGGGTTTAGGGTTTAGGGCTCGAAAGCTACTGGGCCAACTCATCCCAGAAGTGCAGTGGGCTGAGTCCAGCCGATGTCGAAAGACCAAGACCTTGAAAGAAACCGTGAAAATCATAACCCTTCTGGCAACCCTCCGATAGTCCCTATAATAAGGCACTCTAAACCCTCTTCCCGAAAACCGTCAGTCTGAGGCGGAACACGCACGGAAAGCTTTGGCTCCGGCCTCCTTGGAGAGCACCTCTACTGGGAACCAGCCACTTCGAGCATCGATCATCAAGCGGGGCAGATCCTGCAGCTGGTCTTATGGGAAAAGGATGTACATCTTGGCTTACCATTCATTATAAAAGTGCTCGAATGTCTCCGTTGCAAGATTCTTACACGCTGCAGGTTGGGTCTTGGGATTTCACCAGGCGGCCGTGTCGAAGGGATCCCCGCTGCGCGGCTTCCCGGTGCTGCGAGAGGCGGTGCGGGCACGCTGCATGGCTGGAAGCTCGAGAGAGGTTCAGAGTTCAGAGGGTCAAGCCCCCTTTGAGCATGCAAAGGCTGAAGTGCAGCTAGTTTGTGGCCTCTGATTTTCCCAGCGATGGAAGCATTACGGCTGGTGCTCGTCCCTCACTTGCCCCTGGTGAGACGCAGGATGCCACTGCCTAGAGTTGAAAGCTTGTTTCGTGACCCACCTAGAGCTCACGAAGTCGCATTGCAGGGTGGCAGACTGGACACAAGGGACGGTTGGCTTCCATTAGGAGTCAAGCTTTAAGAGTCAAGCCTGGGGGCGATCAGTCACAGAAAATCAAGCGACGCGAGACCCAAGCCACAAAATCTCTAACCCTGAGGCCATCGGCATAAGTACGCAGAAGCCAATCTGAGCAAGCCCGTGAGGATGCCAAGGTCTCATCCCACTTCATAACCACGAGCTGGTGCCACAAGCGTCGGTCTAAGATGATTCTTTTGGGGTTTCAAGCATGAACCCCTTTAATTAATTGTGCCTGCATGAGCACCAGCGTTCAAGAGGAACAATAGCAACATCCATGATAACAATGCATTTTTTCCGCTTCTTGTGCTCGTCTGCATTCCTGGAACCCTTTACAGCTAAATCCTAAACATACCTTTTTGCAGCTGGGCTCTGGGTGTCAACATTCCTAAGCCCTATAGATACACTAAACCCTAAACCCGACCTTGCTCAGTGGCCGGCCGGGTGTAGCGGCCCTGGCATGGGCACCGACCTCCGCGGCGACCGGAGGATCGGGGCGGCGCTCGGCGGCGTCCAGCTGGCCCTGGTGACCCAGAGACTCCAATATTCCTTAATTAAAGAATATTCCCTACATTATAGTAGGATCCTTAATATGATTTAAGGTATATTCCTTAATTAAGGGATATTGGAGTCTCTGGTGAGGAAAGGGCTTGGGATTTAGGGTTTACGCTCTCACGACTCGGACAATGCAGGTGAGGCTTGTTGTCTGTAGATTTTTTGCCTCCTACTTGGCAAGGAGTAGATTTAGGGTTTAGGGTTTGGAGTTTTGGGTTTAGGGTCTGGTTTGCTTTTTCCGCACCCCGCTTCGCTGACTAGGTCGCGCTGCAGTCTGATCTGACGGGAGGATTTACGAAGTGGAGTGCAAAGTAATAGTGCGTTGGTGTCAGTAAATTAGCGACAGCTGGAGGCTTAGGAAAGGCACTGAACCAGTAAAACACAAAGCTGTCTTCTCCGTGTGCAGTAATATAGGCAAAGAAAGTCCTGCACCGTGCGACAATCGGACAAAAACAGAAAGGGTGCTCCAAGATGCGTGGGTTTGGGTGACAGTGTTCTATCCGCCTGGTGGCTTCATACTTCCAGACACTAACAGGAATGCGCCACCTGCTTTCCAGATCCTTGCCTGGTCAAAACAAAGCCAAAAGAAGGTGAGTTTCACGTCAGATGACTTTGGCTTTCCTTCGCCAGGTCTGAAGCCGACGCGCAGGTCCAAGACAAGTAAGAGCTCTGGTGCACCCAGTTTTTGCTTTTACTAAGACTAACCACGTCACATCAGCTCCTTTTACACCTGGCCACGGCATTGCTGTCACGGATCATCTCGTCCAGATCACACGTGCTCGTCAAACTGCCACAGCGGAAATGTCTAGCTGAAGCACGTGTCCCCGGACTGGGGAGTGCATTTCACCGTGGTGTTGCGTCGTTTCGGCTCCTCGAGTTCGAACTTATTTTCCCTTTCCACCCGCTGCCGACTTAACCCCTGAATGTTGGGAACAGGAATGACTTCTTCTTCTTCTCCATCTTCTTTTGAGTCGCATGATAGCGACATAACGCGATGACCGACACCGATGCTGCAGGCCCCGTCAAGGGTCTCCAATCAGCTTTCGATTTTGCATAGTAGTGACCGGGCCCCGTCCTGCTTCCTACTCAGCGATCCTACCCAGAGACTCCAATATTCCTTAATTAAGGAATCTTTCTTAAATTATAGTAGGATCCTTAATATGATTTAAGGTATATTCCTTAACTAAGGGATATTGGAGTCTCTGGGTACCCTACACCCCATGCAGCATCCGGCCCCGTCCGGTCATTCCGGGCTCCCGGCGTAGATGCGACAAGCCGCGTGGGTGACACGGAGCGCGGGTTGCTCGCCAGGGGAACACCTGCTGTCCACAGCTCTTGAAAAAGACGGACAGAATCACACATACAGGAGAGTAGGTCCGCGCCTACGACTTCTGAAGTCGTATACTGACACAAAAAATCAGGTTAGGATGTTCGGACTGTCTTATGACCGAGGATCTGTGTCGAATCAACCTGCCAGCACGTGAAGGTTAGCCCATTTTGGGCGGGCCCAAAACCTGCTAGGGTTAAGGTTTAGCCCAAATGTAGGAGATGCCTATGGGTGTGTACTTCTCTCTGTGTCTATCTCCCTTTGCGACGACCTGTGAGGAATTGTTATTGACTGACGAGCCAACAACTCCAAATGGAAGGCCGCAGAACTTGGAAACCCAAATCTCGCAGATCTGGGGGCTCCAAGCATACTCTAAGCTAAACTCCCAAACTCCAAAACCGGACCTCACGACCTCCAACCCTAAATCCCCAAACCCAACATCCTCATTCCGGTCATCCAGATCAGGAAGTTACCCTTTTGAAACCGGACTTGATGACGGCCAGCAAGTTACCGAAAAAAACCCTAAACTGCCCTAAACCCTAAACCCTGAACCCTAAACCCGAAGCTAAGGGAAAAGCTGGTGACTGCCCGCCATGGCGTGGGCGCTGTGATGACCTCCCGGGCCGAAGACGAGCAGGGGCGTTAATGTAGGGGCCTTAATGACTAGAATAGGGTTTGTGGGGTTTAGGGTTTAGGGTTTAGGATTTAGGCTTAATGTAGGGGCCTTAATAACTAGAATAGGGTTTGGGGTATATCATACCATAATTATAATAAGGAGCCCCCAAAACCCTATTCTACTTATGAAGGCCCCTACATTAAGTTGCACATTAGACAACATGTGCCATGCGCGTGGATGTATAGATATATGCACAGATTACGCATACAAACATGTTTGGCACCTCGCGCTCGACGGAGTCGGCGAGGTTTAGAGCGGCAAAGAAAAGTGCAAACCAACATGCATAGATACATACATGCGGAAATTCATACACGCAAACACTTGGCATATAGTTGTACACAGTTTTCTTGATTGCATGCACATTTTGTGAGTGAGTCAGGTGCTATGGCAAGTCTAGGCGGCACGGTGTCGGTAGATCTTATACAAAAACTATCCGTGTTAGTGTGAGTATGCAATACTAATGCCAACACTGATACTAACATCAAGACTCTTTGGAAAAAACCTGACATCCAGTCCCGAGTATGGTTCCTCGGACGGGGTCTCGCGGATGTTTTTGTGAATCGAGCACATTCCGCCCTGTTCATCTATCTGCCAGTTCAAGCTGTTGTGTGATGTGCGTCAGGTTCAGTTTACGAGGCCGAAACCACGATGTGCTGCCACAGTCCTTTCCCGGCCACCTGCGGGTTGTGCGCCACGTGTGCCTGAGCTCAGAGGGGCCTCTCTCCTCCTAGGGCCCAGGCCATTGGTTGAAACACAAGGAAAGCACTTGGAGGCTCATGGTCATTATAACCCAAACATAACTGGCTTATAACCCCTATTGTAAGTCCCCTAAATACACTTACCCAGGTTATAATTGGGTTATAGTTATAGTTATAATTGGGTTATAACTACCATGAACCTCCAAGCAGGACCCGGGTCATTTACCAGGTGAAGGTTGAGGCCCAAACAATGAGCTCGAGAGACGTGGTTGTGGGCGTCCTTCATGGTAACACTATGCTACCCTACTCTGTGCTGTACTATTATGCTTACTCTCTTCTTCTGACGGCACCGTACTAGATAGGGGACTATGCTCCACCGAAAAAGAATGCCATCGTTTTCTGCCAGTTTGGTTCTTGTGGACTGCTTTGCATCGCAAAGGAAATGTAGAGCGTCGTATCAGATATAGCGTAGTACGGAAATTATTGTACAGTCTAGTACAGTGCAGTCGAGCGTAGAATAGCATTAGCATTCGCATCAGCAAGGCTGTATGGTATAAGCAAAAGTTGACCTGAAATAGTTCCCGAAACCCGAATTCGAGGAGTGAACTCCTAGAAGCTCGGGCCGCGAACATCACTGAAGGACCAGCGAAGCCGCGCGCTCGCCGGTGGCACATGGATCTGCGGCTTTGCTGCGGGGGGTTACAAACAAGGGTTATACACTCCTTTACCGGCTACTACCAGGGGTGCTATAACTGTTGCTTCAAGGAAGCGCGGGCCCAGCAATTTCGGGGATCGTTAAAGCGTGCGGATTCAGGCTTCGGGCTCAGGAGCACTTGAAGAGAGTTCACGGCTTGAGGGACTTTGGTTTGGGTGATCGCCTCTCACTACGACCCCAACTTCAGCACCCGCCCACATGAAGCCCGACCGCCCGCTTGAGATTTTCGTGAAGCACATGTTTAAGGAGAGACAGTGGCCTTGCATCACGGATGTCTTTTACAAGTAGTCTGTCTCAAGCCTCCGGGCTGTGCCCGCTGCCCAGTTCATCATCTCTAAGCAAGTTAAAACAAAGAGGCACTGCAGTGAAAGGCGTACGCACCTCCCGATGCTCCTGCATTGGGGAGGAGCTTGCAAAGGCCGATGTGCTTACGGTCCGGGTGCATGCCTGGGCGAAGTGCTCCGAAAGCTCCACTCTGCACGGCGGGGCTTCGAGCTCGGAGGACTCTCGGCAACTGGAGGAGGGCGAATAGAGGGGCCTCAGCAGTTAGAACCAGGTTTGGGGTATATCGTAGTATGTTTGCATAGGGAATCTAACAGCAACAGACTCAGCTCCAGCAACATCCTGCCGCACCTCACATGAGGCAGCGGCACTGACGAAGCGCGTGGGGACCACGGGCCTCCGCTCTGAAACTTGGAGCTCCGGACTAAGTACCAAAAGTAAAGGGAAAGCTGCCCCGCCTCGGCGCCGGTGCAGGCGCCATGGATCGTGGAGTCGTGGTCTGTGGCACAGACTCTAGTCGTTGGGGGTTTGTGTCAAGGCTCCCGGAAAAATGGTTGCAACATCACGGCTATCATGAAGCCAAGAAGAAGGCAAACGCAGTTAGCAAAGAGATTTGTCAAACTTTCATTCGACTTGTGTTGCAAGTTCGGGCTTGTTGAGATGCATTGCTCCAGCTCCCGAAAGGCCGAAGGACAGGCCGAGGCAAGCTGAGATTGAGGGTTCCTGGACGGCTTGGAGGCTCGTTCTCAGCATTCAAACTGTTTCCTGGGCCCTGAAGAAATAATCTCCCAAGCAATTTCACGGAAAGCGCAAAGACGCCCCGAAGAAGCCGCCTGCTCAAGGGGCAACGAACTCCAAGACATCTGCATAGTCCTGCAATCGAGGGAGAGCATTCTGGCAAAGATATCCTAGCATTCTGCTCCCATCGTCTGCTCATCTGTCAATGCGAACACATCCCTAAACACTAAACCCTAAACCCTAAACCCTAAACCCTAAACGGCTGCGGCTGCTGCTGGACGTTGCGCTGCGCCGAGGGAAACGAAGGGTAGCTCGAGCCCTTCCAGACCCTGGAGCCCAAAGAGTCCTTAATAGTGGGTATTTATGATATTTGAAAATATATTATATTATATTATACTATA